TAATCGCGGTAGACTCGAAACTAAAACATGGCAAACCCACCGCTAGCAGATATTGTTTGCTTTGACCACCCTTGTAAGGAATGTTTCGTTCCTCTCTCTAACCGATGTGGGATCTCACAATCCACCCCACTTGGGGGCCAGCATCTTTGCTGGCACACCGCACTGTGTCTTGTTTCTGATATCATTTGTAACCTCCCAAATCCATCGCTAGCAAATATCGCCAGCAAATATCGCCAGCCTCACGATTTATAAAACACGTCTACTAGAGAGAGGTTTTCACATCCTTATAAGGAATGTTTCATTCTCTCTAACCGATGTAAGATCTCACAATCCACCCCCCTTGGGTACCCACCCTCCTCGCAAGCACATTGTCCAGTGTCTAGCTCTGATACTATTTGTAACCCCTCAAACCTACCACCAGTAGATATTGTCCGTTTTGGCCAGTTACGTATTACCGTCAACCTGACGTTTTTTAAAATGTGTCTACTAGAGAGAGGTTTCCACACCCTTATAAAGAATGTTTCGTGTTCTCCTCCCCCACCAAAATAAAAACCACAACAACAAAAAGGGATTTGGTGGGTGGCGGCAAAAAATGATCCTCACTTCAAATGATCAAATCATTAACTCCTAACAAGTTAATAAGAGAAAGAAACAAGACATCAATCCAAAAACAGCCAGACATAAGACACAAACAAGCAACAATTATAGGATAAACTCAATTCTAAGACAGCTAACAAAAATAGAAAAGGAAAAATGATTGAGCAAAGACATTGAACCATCAGCAGCTGCAAAACTCACCCATATCCAATCCATTCCATGTCGAGTTCTCGAATTCGAGTTCATCGTCTTCTTCATTGCCCGTTGGAGCCTCGATCACACTAAGCGCATTCCGCTGTAGTTTCACCTCTATACCATTTGTTAAAACCTGCATTTCCCCTCAATTCAAACCCACATTCATGGAAAATTATCAAAACTTACAGTCCTAATAATCGAAACCCCTCATGATTCCATCTAACAAATTAAATCAGCATAAACAAAAGTTAATAAGCAAAGCAATCATGAAAAAGCTATCACAATTACGAGATCCAATGATTAAATGAACATGCAACTAAAGAGAAGAAGATAGAAATTGGAGAATTCGAATCTAGAATTCAATGAGACACGATCTAAACCCCAAATAAAATCAACAAATCAAGATCTGATACACAAAATTGAAATGAAAAAACGCAAGAAATTGGCCAGACATTGATAAGAAAGCATGAAATTAACCCTAAAAAACCACAGAATTTAGAAATTCAATGAGAATCCAAAGAAATTCAATGTTTCTAATAGAATCCATACCAGCCAATGCCAGCCGCCAAGACCGACGGCTTTCTTGACGACGCCATGAAGCCCGACGAGAACCGATTTGGTCCGATTATTTCCGGTAACGACAACCTTAGTATGGCGAGGAAGAACCGAAAGCTCCTCCTCGCTGCTATCCCCACAGCTCTGAAACTGCGAGAAAGCGCCATTGATGGATCTCTGCACAGCTTCAATCATTTCCAAATCTCTGAAACTGAAATGGGGATTCTCAAAAAGGGGAAAAACAGAGAAGAAATTCACATATGAAAATGGAGGAATCGACGTAGAAGAAAGGCCATGCAATGGGGAACAGAACAGTGGGAATTTGAGAGATCAGTGGGAAATTTTTTGGGATTTTTTCGCTGAGAAAAAACACGGCGATAGGAAGTGTTGGCGCTTTGCAAGTGAAAGCAAAGAGCAGAGCGAGAGGAAAAGGACAGATAATGTTTTAGTGGTTGGTGATGCTATGGATCCCGACGACCCGTCACAGACCAATGAGAGAACGACACGTAAGAAAGAGGTATTGATAATCATGCACTTGGTGGGGGAGCCGGTTTGCAGCATGATACTCCCAATACTCCTGGGAGTTGACTTGTTGACCTTTGCTGTAACCCACTACCTTCCACAATTACCAAATTACCCCTACTTCTTTATTTTTTGTTATTTAAAAATAATTACTTGAAAAGACAGTTTTCTTGAATTTTGTGTTTTTTAAATTAAATATTAAAGGATTTTTAAAGAAATTATGTTTTTTTTTTTACCAAAATAAAAAAAATGAAGAAAAAACCATTGAATTAGGTGGAAGCAGGGTGGGCTTTTTCGTAATTTCACGTATATAAACATTAAATTAAAATAATTTTTTTAAAAATAATGAAGCAAAAACCAATTGTTTTTTCCAAATGCGGGCCCCACATCTCTACCTGCCGTCGGTGTTGTCGTATATCTCCGCCACACTCAATAAATACTCCCCAAAATCTCTCTCTCTCTCTCTATATATATATTACGTGGCTAGAATTAAAATTGAATTAATTTTTTTTTAAAATTATAATTCAAATTTTTAAAAAAAATTTATTGGGTATTTTTAAATATTTGGAAGCTAATAGATAAAAAAATTTAATTTTTTATTTTAAAAAAAATAGAATAAATCTAAAATTTACTTTTAAGTTTCAAAAATAAATAAAGAAAAAAAAATCGGGAGTTTATTTATTTATTTTTTCCCACCGTTAATTTCCCGCCAGCAGGGAGGAAGGTGAGCCGTCGGATGGGATTTTCCCGCGCAATAGATCCAACGGTGAGAAGTGAAGGCGGGGAGGGATAAAAGCAGGAATGTTTCACAAAGCATGTGTAATGATTGGGAATATGACTTTTCAAAACGTCGTCGTAAAAGGAAGGCACCACTCCCAAAATATAATTCTAAATTATTTTTTTCAATTATGATAATTTCTTTTTGTCTCATTTTATATCATTTAAAAAATAATTACTTATTTAATTTTCTCGTTTAACTAAATTACGGTATCGTGTTGAAATGTTCATACAAATACTAGAAACCATTTTATAAGTTTAATGTGACACTCGAGTAAAAGAGAGATATATGAATGAACCGAGACCGTATCCTAATAAAAGAGAGATTATAAGAATAAACGATTTAACAAAATGCATATTTTTTACGGTGGCTTTATCATATGAACTCTAATGTCAAGCGTGCTCTGCTTTGAGTAACTTTATGTTGGGTAACGTCCGAGTAAAGACATAACATTTTGAAAATTTTTGTGCTACGTAAGTATCGACCTTGGCCTAAGCTTAACATTCAAGCCAGACTGAATTTTACCTAATTAGTCTGATATCAAACTAGACGAGACCAGTTTTACGTAGTTGGTGTATAGTCGGTTATAAGTTTGGTTAGACGAGCTATAATTTGTTTGACCTTAGTACGACCTTTAAGCTTTAAGGCTCTTACGAGTCTTCGACACATTGACAATTATACCCCTAAAAAAGGAAAATATTTGAAGTGAATAATTTCTTAAGCTATGATTTTGTGTGGGCTTAGAATTTGAATTTTGAAAAAGAAAAAAAAAAAAAAAGTTTGAATGGGCCCACTCCTTCCTTACAAATAAAATGATTGGTTCTAACATTGTCCACCTGTGTCTGACAGATAGATAAATATTTAATTGACCTGCCTACCCTGCCCTGACCTCCCTAACAACTCCTAATTTCCTTTATTATTTAATCATTTCTCTTTTCCCTTTTTCATTTTTTTTTTCAAAAAAAAATTCTTATTATTAATTAGCTCTCCCATTAATATATCACAATTAATTTATTCAAACTTATAATAATTACTAAAATTAATTAAGTATTTTAGTAATAATCATTTTATTCATATAATTTAATTTTTTTATTATACAAAATTTATAAATATATATCATTTAAAATAATTTATTTAGTATTTTTATTTGAAGGTAATTATTAATATTGGTTACAAAATAAATAGAAAAACTTAAAAGGCTAGAAAGAAAATTAAATTAGCTAAGGTTTTTTAATAACTTGAATTAATACCAATAAAATAACTAACAATAATTAAGTAATTAAAAGTAAATAAGGTAATAAAATTGGAATGAAATATAAATATGGTTAATCTATGATACAATTTTCATACAAATTCGAAACGGTAATGGGCTTCTTCAGCAGAATTGGGCCGGCCCAGATGAATGCAATTCAACCAGCCCAGGCCCAAAGTTGACTCGCCTAAAACAACAGTGTCCTCTAATTTGCTGCATAAATTTCACATGGAAATATTATTAAAATTTTCCAAAATATTAAAATCATTGTGCCCGACAAAAATTAGATTGTGACTGGATCAATTAAATAATTAATATTATTTTATAATGATTCTTTTAGGAACAAAATTACTTAAATTTAAAATAAAATAAAAATTTATTTATTTATTTATTTACTATGTGAGAAGCTTATAAAGGTGGAGGCAGTGGTAAAGTCATTTACGTTTATGTCATGAGTTCAAACTTTCCAAAGAAAGGTATCTTAATAATTAAATTAATTTAATATCCGATCGAAAATAATACGAACAGGACATGGGGCATAGAGTGCTGAAAACGAAACAAATGTACTCACAATACCAATAAACAGAATTACACAACTCACCAAAATATTTACGTGGTTCAGAGAGAAGAAGTTCCCCTGTATCCACGGGTGGCAACTAATGACTAATAAACTACCTCACTATCACACTACACAAAGACTCTCACTAATATGTCACTCAACAAATACAACGTGACATTCAAAACTGTCTCACTATCACACTACACAAAGACTCTCACTCACCAATTTGTCATTCAACAAATACAATGTGACACTCAAAACACTATCACACTACACAAAGATTCTCACCAATATGTCACTCAACAAATACAATGTGACACCCAAAACTGTCTCAAAAATCCCAATATATAACTAAACAGACTAAATCAAATCTAAAACCAAATCAAATCTAATTCAAATAACCAAATCAAATCTAAACATAAATCTAATTCAAAAACCAAATTAAATCAATCCAAATAACCAAATCAAATCTAATCCAAATAACCAAATCAAATCAAAACTACAATTTACAACATAAAAAACAACAATAAAATTCACAACAATGGTGGAAAAACAAAAATGAGCAGCACTCTACAATTACACTAACTTAGGTAAGGTATAAATGGAGTAGTTTTCAAAGGGTTTAATCTAAATGTAACTTACTCTAAACTTAACTAAACAGGATGAATTTATGTTAAAAATCACACTATTAACTTAATCTAACTCATTTCTGCTATACGTGGAGATATAGATAATGCAGCAAAGTGTAAGATGATGAAGAACATCTAAAATGAGAAGAAGAAGCAGAAGTACTTTTTCTGAATCTTCTTCATTCTGCTAATGCTCTTCTTCTTCTTCTTCTTCTTCTTCCCTCCATCCATGGCTGCTGCTTCTTTACCTTTTGCCACCTCCTTGTTCTGACAGCTTGATGATGCCTCCCCTTTCAACAGCTCTGGTTCTTTGCACCCTGAACTGGGCACTACCGACTCGGGTTTTGGACTCTCTTTGCCTGGTAAGTGGCTTCCATTGGTATCGAAAAGAGATTCTGGGAATGAGAAGATGTGAAATGGTTGAGTTTGTACTGTTAGTTTCCTGATCGAGCGAAAAAAACAGCAGCAGAAAGTACGAGGAGAACTCGTATGTTTACGTCTAATTATCACCCAACATGTGAAGTTATGGTTGAAAGCATGAGGAGAATTGACATTTTTTTTTGTCTAAATAAATACTCGAGGATTGCTGGGAGAGAGTCTCGCATTCCCTAATTTAGGGAATGATCACGGGTTTATAAGTAAGGAATACATCTCGATTGGTATGAGGTCTTTTGGGGAAGCCTAAAGGAAAGCCATGAGAGCTTATGCTCCAAGTGAACAATATCATACCTGGAGGTTCGTGATAGCAGCTGGTTCGTGATTTCTAGCTGCTATCACTGTTAATTTCTTGAAGTAAATGCTGAAGAACAGCATATTCCACAATGATTAGGTAACTAATTTGCAGAATGTTCTGTTCTGCCTTCAAATTCTAACCAGATTATTCTTGATTCATAACGAGTGCGAAAAATGGAAGGCAAACAACACGAGGACGAGAAAAGTTTTGAATGAATGGACAAACCTGAACCTCCTTGATGCACCACCTCCGTCCTTAGTCTGATGGGTGCAGAGGATCTGATGCAGGCAGCATCTCTTTCTACCGAGTTGAAGTTATTGTCATGGTCTATGTCTCTTAGTAGCGCCATTGGATCAAAACAATCATCTGAAGTAAAGGACACGCGACTAGAATTTTCAGAACTTGATGATGAAGATGCTGGGGTATCTAAATCCAGAATTTCTAAGAAGTCGCCTCTCGAAATATAATCCATATCAGAACGGATCACTTCACGCATCTACAAAACATCAGTAGTCATTAACTGAAAATGAAGACACCACTTGCGACTACATACCGAGCAAAGAAGCAAGGGGGAGAAGAACAAGGGAGTGATCAGTTTCCGATGATGATAACTATTCTGAACCAGTAAAAAAAAGAGGCTACCTCAGGCTGGTTTGTGGATCCATTTTCCATGTTATTTGAACCATCTGGAACAACCAACTGGTGATTTTGGTTGATAGATTCTGAATTGGGAATGGTAGAAAGTTCGATTTTCTGAATCTTTTCAGGGCTTTGAAACTGTTCATCTCCAATAAAGAGTTTGCAGAGTGAGCTAGTTTCCTGCATATTGACCAACCAAACAAGCATGAATAATTGAATGAATGACTCGTCCCAACCAAACAACCAGATGTACCCTTTGCTTGCTGTTTCCGCTCGTGCCTGAATCAGTCGTCCAGTACACGTACATAACCCAGGCTGTTTTATGCTCATGAGGTGCTTGACCTTCATAGTATTCAAAAGTGGCTCTCCATCCAGTGAAGAAAGAGTCTGAATACAGTTTAATATCTCCACCCTGCCGCCTCCAACTTGAGTCGGAATTTCCATCACACTTTCCGTAAAACCAAACACCATCTGTTTCACCAGGACAATTGAAAAGTGATTCAGTTTACATTGAAGCCACAAAAATCAACCAGAAACTCATGGCCATTATATGGTAAGCTTGTTTAAGCCTGGAAAAATATGATGTTTATTCAGCAATATATATTCTTTAGACGATCTTAGATGTATTGCAACTTTAATTATATTGGTTAGGAATCTGAATAACATCATCATATCCAGTTCTTCCGATACTCGAGAAAGATCAGGAAATTCGAAACGTGAATTTTTTAGACAAGGAAGACATCAGAAGTACCTGGTAAATTTTCGGGTTTAAATTGGTGAGGATCTATACCAACAAGAACATTTTCTGGAAGAGGATCTCCATTCGATATCCTTCTTAATACCCGACAAACCTCCTTTTCAGTAACAAATAAATCAAGTGTAGCTGGAGAGGTGCCTGTTGAAGGAGTCATGTCAACCAACGCCAAGGAGAAGATCGAAGTTCAGTCTGGTTTTATCTTTGAAAGCTATAGCCATAAGAAAATCGAGTAAATTTGAAAGAAAATAATCCATTATCGAGCATGAATTGATCAAGGAGAAGAGATTTTCTTACATGAACAAAGAATTCAATGATGATGCCCGAATGATCAAGCCACACTGATCTATAACTCCACACAAACTTGGCACGTCCCTTCATGAACAAACATGATTTAGATCAATGACAATAATAGCAAAGGAGATAAAAGAGACGATCAAAACAGACCATATGAACTACGTAGAATTTCACCTCGCAAATTCAAATCCAAGTACTACGATTATACCGATTCATCAGTGGATAACAAAATTAAGGCAAAACACTTGCAGCTCACGGCTCAATATAACAAAAAATTCAACTAGAAAGAATTATCATCGCATTTCGAAAGAAAAAAACCATAGAAATGAAGAAGTCAACCCCGATAATGTTTGGGTAAACCTGGATAACCAGATCACTCCATCGTTCAAAATCAACAACGAGTTCGCCGACGAATTATCTCATCGGCACAAACATTACGAAATTTCAATCATACAAGTAGAAAGGAAACAAACAAACACACAATTCAACAACAAGAACTAAACCCTTCCCACAACTCCGATCCTGCAACTCTCACCAAGAAACGACGGAAGAAACACAAAATCAGAGAAGCAAGTAAAGATTTCATCACTAAAACAGAGAGAATTACATATAATAAAACGATTATTGACAAAATGAAGGCAGATCAGAGAATTCTAACCTCGAAGATGTTAACGAAAGACCCGGACTGACCGAACTCGACCAGTTTCTTTTGCTTAATCGCTTCTATACTCCACAGAGGGGAGGCGATCAGGGGTATTTATAGGGGGCAAGTGAGTGTGGAATAGAACTCATAAGCGAACCCATGATCACACTAATCCCCTTCGTCGATGTGCGACTCGGTCCGTTGCTGTCGTCAGCTTCCCTTTACATCCCCCATGAAAACATTACAGTTAACTATGGTTTATGCTGAATTATGCTCGTGTTAAAATAAAATAAATTATATTCACGTTTATATTTATTTATAACATTTTTATACTTTTGTGAGATCGAACACTACTCTCACTGAAATGATATTGTCCTCTTTGAGTATAAGTTCTAATGATTTGGTGCTCACAAAAGCCTCATTCTAATGGAAATAGTATTCCAATTGTAAACACAGTTATTTCCTAAATTAACCAATGTTAGACTTACATCCAACAATTTTCAAAACATGTGTTAATTTTACCAATATGTTCGGATAAATTTTTCGAGTCAGTTCACCTATTATGTGATATCTAGGCCTTCTCATAAGTCGGAGTTGCTCGAGATCTGTCAAATATTTAATATTCAGTTAAAATTTCGATTTTCACTTCAACGTCACATCAATAATTAAAAAAAAAAGGAAGAAGTTTAATAGATAAGTTTATACCATATATTTGTGAACATTGTCACTATGGCAGCCAAGTTTGACTTTAAATTAGTAATATATATATATATATATAGTGAATAATTAATTATAAAAATATGATTTTAATTTTAAAAAAGGGAATAATAATTGATTCTATTTATAAAAAATCATTGAAAAAGTAATTTATTTTCACTACTTAATATTTCAATATAATAATTTACAAATATTGATGATAAGGCAAAATAATTATTCATTTTCATTGAAGTTTAAATATTTTTGTTTTAAAATTATAAAATATATTAAAGTAATCCAATATTTAAACATTTACCAAATCGCTAATTAAATATTTATTGGGAATTCTTTACAATTTTTATTTTATTTTTTGAGTTTACTTAATTTCACTAATTAATAACTGTGTTTACTTATAAGAAAAAGTCTTTACTTTGACCATTTTCTTATTAAAGGATACACGTGGCGGCATATTATTGGCTGATAATGGAAGAAAAGCAAAACAAGTGGGATAACCAAGAGATTCCTTTTTGTTACTTGGAATATACACGACTTTACTTATAAATAAATAAATAAATATTAATAAAAGGAAAAGGTGGAGAGTGAAATATTGGATAATGTCGGCGCGTGAATACACGCTCATTATAAACTAAATATTTTCTGTCTCCTCAAAATAAATAAATAAAAATTACTAAAAGGAAAAATATGGAGGGTGAAGTATTGGGTAATGTCGGCGCGTGAATACACGCGCCCTATAAACTAAATATTTTCCGTCTCTCAAAATAAATAAATTAATTAATTAATAAAAGGAAAATATGAAGAGTGACATATTGGGTGATGTCGGCGCGTGAATACACGCGCAATTGAAACTTAAAATATTTTCTGTCTCTTCAAAATAAATAAATTAATTAATTAATAAAAGGAAAATATGGAGCATCCGAAAATTAAAAGGCCATGCGTAGCGACGAAGTTTGTGTATGCCGACGTGTAATTGGGAAATGTCGACACGTGCATCAACGCGCATTATAAACCAAATATTTTCTCACTATTATAAACCGAAAACCGACTGTGTCCGTTCTTTTTCAAAATAAATAAATAAATAAATAAATAATCAATTTTTTAGGCTATCCTGGAATGTGATATTAATAGTTTCCTATACACCAACAATAAATTAATTAGCATTTTTTTTTAATTTTTAGAAATTTAAATGTATTTTTGAAAAAATAAAAAAGTTTATTTTTTTAATTTTTTTTTATGAATCTAGTATTTTTTTTTTAATTCACGAATATTCTTGAAATAAAATAGGACAGCTACAAAATTAAAATGTTTTTTTTTTAATTAGTATTTTTTAAAAAAGTAATTACAATTAAAATGACGTGTCGTCGAAAAGGTCGGCGCTATCTTGAACTTTTTTAAAAAATAATTCCAGAACCTTCTTCTCCGTTCCGTACGAGCAGTCGGTTTATTGTTCGACCGGTTCGGTTCGCCGTCGGGTTCCGACGGTGCGCTCGGAGAGCGGCAGCGACTGTGAGCAGTGACAGTGGGACCTGTGAAAATGGAGGATCGCTTAGCGAGAGATGAACTCTCTGTATTTTTGGAGTCTGGAATTTATCGCTTCCAGAATTCCAATTTCATTTTCGTTGATCCAGTTCGTGTTCTGAATCTTTCGTACTCACGGTTTAGGGTTTCTCCTTCTGGTTATTACCGACGATTCTTCGATCATGTGAAGAAGGGTTTGGATAACAGGGATTGTTTATTGAATGCGAGGAAGCGAAAGAGGAAGGAAAAGAAATCCCGCTGCTTAAACGAGAAAGAACTTGCTGCCGATCAACGTCACCAGGTTTCTTTGTTTGTAATTTGATGTTGCATTGTTTCTGTATGTCTGCAATGGTAAATATTTTACTATGTTCATGTGCTGCAGGTGACGAAGCCTTTGTTGCTCAAGGCACACGGGTCGTTATTGCAAGCTACCGATCTGTTGAGCGTAATGGGCAGTTTAAACCGTGAGATTGATTCTTCAGCAGGAAGCAGATGGGTAGAATTGCCGAATGATCATCAATCATTGATCGAACACGGAGGGGTTTGGCAGGCGCCTTTATATGAAATAACTCTCAAACTCCCTGAATCCAGTCCATCCATTGAAGTTGCAGGTTGTAATTCATCAAATTCCAGAAGGGATATTATATTTATCTGATTCATGCTGTTACATTTTCATTATAGTCGAATTACACTTTGGATTAGAACAGAATTTCATTTCTTCTACCTCCAAGCAAATCCATGCTGGTAAAAATTCATAGCGCCTGAATTTCTTGTTGTTCTTCATCTGCTTCAGGATCCTCTTTCAAGAACAGAGTAGTTCCCTTGTTTAATAACCTGGTTGTCAATGAGACCTTGAATGAGGTTGAAGCTGAATTTCTTGATCATCAATATATATTGCCTCGCGAAAGTTGCTTCTACATGGTATGGTGGCTACTTCGGCTAACATATTTCTGTTTTTGATTCCTGGGTACATTTATTAATGAAGAAAAAAGTTCAAGGATTTTCATTTTTATATTGGCTTCATTGAGAAGTGTTATTTGTTATCCAAACAATGTTAATTATTGCTGGTCTTTTGTTTTTTTTTTTTCTTTAATTTTGCAAGTTGATCTGACCCTCTCTTCCAAGCAGACTTATCGTTGTTTTTCATGAAGAACCTCTTGAGATGCCTTCATTTCCAATATTTTTAGATTTAGTTCTAAGTTTGTCTTACATGAAATTATTTCTCTTGTTTCCATGTACAAGTCTGATTTGAGGATGGTTCACAATCTTATTCCTGGTAAGGGCAGCGTGTTTTCATGTTTTAGACGTCTAGTTTTATGTCTATTTTCCGATTGATTGTGAATTTCAATTATGTAATATCTAATAGTAATGATCGTTGAGGCCTATTTGAACTTGATTTTGTTTAGTTTCTGCTTTTGAAATCAAGGCAGCTTGTTTTCTTACCATTTCTTTACTATTGTTTTCATATTTTCTTACATAAATATTTGAATTCTTAGTCAAATTTCAAAAACAAAAACAAGTTCTTAATAAGTATTTTTTTTTTTTTTTTAGTTTTCAAAACTTAGACTTGGTTTTTTAAAACGTTAGTAGAATGTAGATAACAAAACAAAACTTATAGGTGAAAGTAGTGTTTATGAGATCAATTTCCACAAACTAAATGGTTATCAAATGGGGTCTTGGCCCGATTTATTTACTTTGTGAACAGTAAATTCTGTTGATCCTTACTTAACTCACCATCTTACCGAATATCGTCCTCAACATTACCTCACGTTCTTAATTCTTTCTTTTTAAACATGTGTTCTTTGTCATTTAAATTCTCTGCTCATTTTATTAGAATGCTATTGCTCTCTCCCAGTTTTTCCATTGTATGTCATCGTTTTCCCATTTTAGTTTTAGGATTTATGTAGAGAAATTGCTTGTGAGGCTTCATATGGGTTTAGGAAGAATATATGCATACACTCAGGGAATGTTTGTTTTGTCTTGTCATTGGAAATGTCTGATTGTATGTTTGGTTGCTATTCAGCTACAGCTAGCTCTGGCTTCAGTCTTATTGTGATCGACCCACCGTGGGAAAATGGAAGTGCTCAACAAAAATCAAAGTATGCTATAGCTTATTCATTTCCATATCATTTTAAATCACCAATTGTTTTTCAGACGACTTTAGACTTCCTATGCATTTAGAGTTTAAAGTGTAAACGCATCGATACTCTTGGTGATCTAATCACATTCGGGATAGCTTCAGATGTACCTCTGTATAAGAATGCTACCTGTATGGAGTTTCGGAGGTTGTTTGCTTAATCGGTGCACCATGGATTATTAGTAGTAGTAAATTAAGAAGCAAATTTTATGAATATAGGAAAAAGAACACGAGAAATTAGTCAATAACAAACCTAGACGGAGTCGATCAATTATCTAGAATTGTAGAGATTTAATTAATCCATGTCAAATTTAAACCTATTAATAGTAGATCGTTGATCATCAAATCCTTATTGTCGACAAATTACTGTCAATAGTTGTCATATTATCTCGAGAACTTACTATATTATCCTTGAAAAAGTGATTTTTTATTCTTATGCAATTTTCAGTAGTATATTCATTTCGTCCTGATGTCGAAATCTGTTGCTATCGAGCATTGTTGAAGTTTATGATCTCGTAGTTAATATGTGACTAGAACTATTGGGATATTGTCAATAGTTCTGGAGTATCCTCCTGGTTTTGCTGTTCCTTCTTGCACTATCATTCAGTATGATCTCCACTTAATGCATTCCCATTTAATCACCAAGGTATCCAACATTGCCAAACCGTTATTTCTTAGCTCTGCCTATTAAGAAACTGTCTCATAGCAAAGGAGCACTGGTCGCCTTGTG